GTTAAAGCGTCAGCCTGAGGACCCAAGTGTCTCATGTTCAATTCCTGGTAAAGGGCACGTACCTGGGTTACAGGTTTGATGCCTGGCCCTGGTTGGGGCACGTGCAGGAGGCAACCAATCGATGTGTCTCTCTCACATCAATGTTTCTCTGTCCCCCTCCCTCCCTTCCTCTATAAAAGCAGTGGGAAAAAAATATTGAGTGAGGTGCTCGCTTCGGCAGCATATATACTAAAACTTGAACTGCCCTGGCCGGTTTGGCTCAGCGGTTAGAGCGTCGGCCTGCGGTACAGAGAGACCCGGGTTCGGTTCCCGCTAAGGGCATGTATCTCGGTTGCAGTTTGTCCCCGGCCCTGGTTGGGTCGTGCGGGTGGCAGCCACTCGATGTGTCGCTTTCACGTTGATGTTTCTCTCTCTCTCTCTTCCTCTCTCTCCCTCCCGCTCTGTCTGAACAAAAAATGCAAAAATGTCCTCGGGTGAGGATAAAACTTGAACGATACAGAGAAGATTAGCATGGCCCCTGCACAAGGACGACACGCAAATTCATGAAGCATTCCATATTTTTTGGACATGGACAACAAAGCTGGGGACAGGGCATGGAGGGAGGGAGAGGGGGGTATCTGTGGGGGGGGGACACATCTGTAACAAAAATAAATTAATTAAAGAAAAAACAAGAGAGAAAAAAATATTGAGTGAGGCCCAACAGGTGTGGCTCAGTAGATTGAGCATTGTCCCATGGACTGAGGTCTGGGTTTGATCCCCAGTAGGGGGCATGCAGGAGGCAGCCAATCAATGTTTCTCCCTGACATCAATGTTTCTATCTCTATCTCCCTTCCTCTCTCTCTGAAAAATCAAAACATATTTTGAAAAAAAATCAAGTGAGGATTAAAAAATTGTTTTAATTGTGTATATCTTATGATTATGTATTATTCGCAGAAGATCCACATGGTGAACTGATTACATTTCCTTTCTTCTTTTGTTTTCCCTGGTTTGCTTCAGTCTATTTTTACTTTGTTTTCTGTGTACCTATACCTGCTCGCTGTATCCCCAAATTATTTCTCCTTTCAATATGTGCATACATATTAGGTGCGCAATGTCCTTCCAATTTGTCTCTCCTCCTTCCTCTTTCCTCTCCAGGGTGTCTTGCACACTATGTCACTCTCCCGTTCTTGGCTTCCAATGGTTGACTCCCTAAAGCCAACAGAGTAAAAAAAATGTATCTGGCCTAACCTTTAAGACCCTCCACAATTTGTCCTCAGTCTTTCTACTACATCCCTCAAACTCTTTACTCAGCAAAGCCATGTTTACCTGAGTTTCTAAATACCATTTCCCACTAAAAGGATTCAGGGCTTCTTGAAAAATGACTGGGATAGCAAAGTTCAACATGAGTCAGAATATCTTGTTGTGACTGAAAGTTCGGAACTATTCAAATAATGATGAGAACATGTCAAAAGGACACAGGAGTCACAAAATGGCTGAATCTGGGATAATTTGAACATTAAAAAAAATGACAGTAGCCCTGGTCTGTTTGGCTCAGCGGTCAGAGTGTCGGCCCATGGACCAATGAATCGCGGGTTCGATTCTGACCAAGAGCATGTACCTCAGTTGTGGTTCATCCCTGGCCCTGGTTGGGGTCGTGCGGGAGGCAACCACTCGATTTGTCTCTTTCACGTCGATGTTTCTTTCTCTCTCTCTTTCTCTCTCTCCCTACCACTCTATCTGAACAAAAATGGAAAAATGTCCTCAGGTGAGGATTAAAAAAAAAAAAAGACAGTAATGAATTTAATATAACACACACTGACTATAAAGGAAATTCACAGCCTGTACTAATACTCAGAAAAAAGAAAAAGTAAAAGAGAAGGTAAATCTATTATTCAGAAAGCTGTCAGTGAGTGAGTGTGAAAAGAATGATAGATTTACAAAAATTACCTTTTTGTAGCCTTCAATGAGGTAATTGATTCAGAAACAGATCAATGGATGCTAAAATCAGTGGGCGAAAAGTTGCTCCGGAACCATCTAAAATTATCCCCTCCTACAGGTTACTTATGTAAAAGCATCCTAAAGGTGGAAAAGCCTTGCAGATACCACCTTAGCCAACTGATCAAACTCAACATCACCAATAATGGGACAATTTGACAAAAGTACCTCTTGCCATAAGGCAATGAGAAGTAAACATAACTAAAATCATTTAACCTGAAATCCTTAAAAGACAGACAAATCCAGGTTGTGAAGCACCCTACAAATAACTGCCTGGACCTTTTCAAAAATATGGCTGACATGACAGACACTTGTCCACTCACCTCCCAGAAAATGTTCTAAAAGACCAGAGACATGAGAATTAAATGCTATGTGTGGCCCCAGATTAGGTCCTAGATCTTGGGGAAATGTGGGAAACTACTGTAAAGTACATCATGTGGACAGTTTTGGAAATTTGAGTGTGTTGACTAGATAATATTATATCCTTACATTTCTTGGGTATGATAGCAATACTCTGGTCATGTTAGGAAATGTCCTTATTCTTAGTTGCTACAAGCGCAAATATTTAGGGCTAAAATGTCAGAATGACAACCACTTTTCAAGTTAATTCAGAAAAAAATGTATTGAGATATAGAGCAAATACAGCAAAATGTTAATATATTGATTGAATTTGTAGTTGTCAGGGCCTCAGGGAAGGGGCAAATAGGAAGTAACTGCTAAATAACTATGGGGTTTCTGTTTGAGGTAATGAAAAGTTTGGAGGTAGAGAGCAGTGATTGCACAATATTGTGTATATACTTAGTATCACTAAACTGTACATTTTTTTGTTTGTTTTTTTCAGATAGAGTAGGAGGAAGAAAAGGAGAGAGAGAGAAACATCAATGTGAGAGGACACATTGACCTGCTGCCTCCCACATGACCCCGACCAGGATCTGGGACAAACTGCAACTGAGGTACGTGCCCTTGGCCAGAATTGAACCTGCGACTCACTGGTCCACGGGCCAACGCTCTACCACTGAGCCAAACCGTCCAGGGCTGAACCATATACTTTAAAATGGTTAAAATGATGAATTTTAGCCCAGCTGTTATCACTCAGGGGATTGTTGACCCATGGACTGTGGTCTCGGTTCAATTCCAGGTCAGGGCACATGCCCAGGTTGCAGGCTCGATCCCCAGTAGGGGAAGTGCAGGAGGCAGCCAATCGATGTATGTCTCTCACATTAATGTTTCTCTCTCTCTCTCTCCCTTCCTCTCTCTCTAAAAAAAAAATCAATAAAAAACATATTTTAAAAAATTATAAATTTTATGTTATATGTATTTTCTTTTCTCTTAATTTTTTTTTTCTTTATTGATTTTAGAGAGGGAGAGAGAGAGAGAAACATCGACGAGAGTGAACATTGATTGGCCACCTCCTGCACACCCCCCACTGGGGATTTGGCCCACAACCTGGGCATGTACCCTGACCGGGAACCGAACTGGCGACCTCTTGGTGCATGGGTCAACACTCAACCACTGAGCCACACCAGCTGGGCAATTTTGTTATGTGTATTTTGTCATAGTAAAAGAAAAGTTAAAAAAAACCAGACTGGCTGAGCATTGACCTATGCAGCAAGAGGTTGCTGGTTCAATTCTCGGTCATGGCACAAGCCCAGGTTGCAGGCTCGATCCCCATAAAGGGGACATGCAGGAGGTGGCTGATTGATGTTCTCTCTCTTCAATGTTCTATCCTTCTCTCCCTCTCCCTTCCTCTCTCTCTAAAATCAATCAATAAAAATATTTTTAAAAATAATAAAATGTACAAAAACAAAAACAAACAACAAAAAAAAGAACAAACTCATGAATGCCTTCCAAGGACCTGGAGCTGTAGAAAACACCGATTGGTTGCATTCAGTATACACAGAAAAGACATGTAATTTGAACTACATGACAACTTGAAAGGGAGTCTACAAATCATTTTCATCAGAAAGTCACTCTGTGGGAGTAGGACAATGGGCAGAGCCCAGCCCACAGTGACTGCACAAGCACTCAGCCCCCATCCCCACCCCTAGCCCCCACCCCCACAACCTTTAAGAATGAAACACTCAGATATCAACAATACATATTTCAAATAGTTTAATTTTAAAAATACTCTATTCAGTGCTAAAATATGTCTTCACTCACTGTTGCCCATTTCCATTTCTTAAACTTTTATGAAACAAAAAATAAAATCACAAAGTTCAATTAAACATGCAGATTTCAAAGAAAAGGGATCTTTCTAGAAAGTCTGAGCTGAAGGAGTACTGTGGGGGATGGGTACCGTCCTCAGACTTCAAATTCTTGCTGGGGTAGTTTATGGCATGAGGGCATGAGTGCTGGGGACCTTGGCAGGAGGCAGAGAGTGCTGGAATGAAATGTATGGGTGAAAAAAGAAAGGTGTGTGTTGTGTGTGTGTGTGTGTGTGCGCGCGCGCGCGCGTATGTGAATGATAGGGGGAAGGGGATGGTTATGATAAAGGACAAAGAATTGTCAGCAGCTAGAGAGCCCATGAGAGGCAGGATAACCTCAGGAATGGGCAGAAGTGCCAGGGCAGCAAGAAATCTATATGGACTTTTCTGCCCTCATGTGGAGAAAAGCCTCTTTCCTCCAAAGTCTCTACCCAGGTACTCTTCAATATCAGCCTACAGGGCACCTAGCCCTATGGGAAAAGTCCAGGAATCTGCAGTCGCCATTCAAATTCAAGTAACTCTTGGCACTCTCTTCTCTAAAGGGTGCCTTCCACATCTCCTTCCTCTTGTAGAAGCGCCAGCAACTAAGTCCAGAGGTTCTGGAGCAGAGACTGCTAACTGGAGGTGACAGATGAACCTTGGGATGGCTGATGCTCCAGCCTACTTGGGGTACAAAAAGGACATGAGCGCTCCTCTTCTCAGGAGCAAGCAGATACAGGTGCCAGGGATGGGAAGATGATGCTACAACCCCAAGTCCTATGTCAGCCTTCTAGCCTAGAAGGCTCCTATGGGCAGGCTCCGGACCCCAGTGCTTGCCCTTACCCCAGCAACACAGCACGGCCAGAACCAGAATGCAATAAATAGAGGCAGGGAGCCAGGAGGTGAAGGGCGCCAGGATGATGCTAGCTTTCCGATGCTGTCTGCGGCACTGCAGGTTGGTCCACACAGAAGCGTTTCAGGGGTGGGGCACCTGAATCTTCCTCTTCCGCAGCAATCTAGGAGCAGCCAGAGTATGGAATTATAGGGCCATCCCTCTGAACCAGAACCTCCCCACTCACCCTAATTACAACCCAGAAGCCCAGTGCCAACTTTTCATAGATAACCAAACATTTTCCCCTGCCTTATAAATGGAAAACACTAGTTTTTCTCACAGCCTCCCCACCCTACACTACAGCACATTCAACGCAATAAATGCAATTCACAGCAATGAAGTCCTTCCCTTTTTCATAGAAACTGGGAAACCCAAAGTGCCTCCATACCTGTGTCTCCAGTGGAACTGGTTCTTCCTTCGTGAGGGTGGGAGGTTCATCAGCTACTTCTGAAGCAGGCAGGGAGGGCTCTGAAAAAGCAGCAAGGTCAGCATAACTGCAGGGCCTCCCGAGGCAAGAGACTCCTATAGAATCTGCCTTAAAGCGGGAGAACTTTCCTATAGCTATGTAGAGGCGCCTTGGTGAAGAAGCAATACTGGCTGAAAAATCAACACACATATATTTTAGAAACAATATCTAAGAAGAAATTTATAAGAGATAATGCAGAGAGCATAAACTCTGAAGTTAGAAGGAATGAAATTGGAGACAGCCAGTTCCAGTTACAAGCTATGTGATCTTGGATAAGCAATTAAAACTTTCTAAGACTCCACTTCCTCATCTCTAAAATGGAGATAACAGCTTCTATTGCTAGGGTTTGGGAGAGAATTAGACAAGGCAATAAATACTGAAAGTGCCTCACACAGAGCCTGGTACTCACCTGTGTTGTTTGTTTCTTCCTTCATTCTGTGAGAGGGTAAAATACAACCATTTTCCAAAATAGCTCTAACTGTTAACAAATAGCTTGAGGCTGCCAAGCTCTGTGGCATTTTCTCTAACCACTTACTCTAAAGAAGAGAAACATCAAAAGCAAGAGGCAAGGCCCCTCCAAGATGCTCATCCTGGGTCAACCAAGACTCACCCTCAAGGATCTCCTGGCCCAGAGTAGGGGGCTGAGAGTCATCTGTGCGGAAGTCAGAAGTGTGTGCTGGGCTCAGGGACTCGCTCTGCTGGGGGCTGGGGCTCGAGTTGGTGCTGCTGTCCACCTTGAGTTGATAGACATCAGACACAGAACTCTGGTTGCTGTTTTCATCTGAAAACCAAACATGACAAAGTTAACAGCTGAGGGTGGTAATTCTTCCTCAAGAGTAACTCTGTACAGAACCAAGGGCCTGGTGTCTCCTTAGGCAGCCATAGACACACCAGGTACAATGATCACTGCACAGATGCACTCTAAACTGAAGGCAGACGTTCATGGGGCTTCTATGCACTGTGAATTATCAACAGTCTAAGTTGATTAATTTGAGCATTTTCTATTTCAGGACATATTCTAAGCACCAGATGCAGTTAGAATCTTCAAACTTATGCAACATGTATATTTCAGGAAGGTCAGGACAATTACTAATTATTACCCACCATTTATAGCTTAGACCTGATATTTTTTTTCTTTTTTTTTTAGTTCTGGTATTTTCTTACTGTCCAGTAGAAGAGAGGAATATAGCTGTGCCTCTCAACCTTTCTCACAACACAAGATGTATAGAAAATAATAAAGTCTGTCTGGCACTCTCGGCTATCTGAAGGAGGGTAGTGGTGTCTGGAGGTGTTCAAACCAGGCCTTTCAGTGGCCCAGGCTCCACCTGATGCCTCAAGGACCAAGGACTCACACCTGGGAAGCTGTCTGACTGCTTAGTCACCACCTAAGTTAGAAACATAGGAAGTTAATGACACCTTCTCCCTCACCACCAGCAGCAAGTCATCAATTATGATCCACCTTACTGCTTTAACAGTTGTGTTCATTCCTTCCTCTCCTGGTGCCTTAGTTTAGGCCTAATTATCTCTGGCCTGGCCTCCAAGAACAGCCACCTAACTACATTTCCTTCAGTACCATGTATTCCCACTGTACTTCACATCTTTGCCAACATGATCTTTCTAAACCCTTCAATGGTTCCCTGCTGCCAAAAGGATAAAATTCAAACCCCAGTGCTTCTCTGAACAGGTACAAGATGGCCCTATCATAACATACAAAGTCCTTTTTGATCTCTAGGCTCACTGCCTCTTGTTAGTCCATACACACCCGTTGGGTCAAGCCAAGTTGGACCCTAAGTAAAGAGCTGCTTCATGCACAGGTATTTGTTGCCACTTGCTATTTCTGGTCTTTCTGGAAAGTCCTATACAGGCCAACATTGAGCTCGAGCATCACGTCCTTTAAAGGATCCTTGTATCCCAGGTTTCTTTGGGTAAAAATGACCACCTTCTCTTTTATGCTCCTGTTGTATCCCTTGCATACCTGCACTATTGTACACACCAGTTTCCTTCCATTATACTCTGTGCAGATATAGGCTCTGTGGCTTACTAGTCCTTGAATCTCTTGTGCATTGTACTTGGCATGTAGTAGTAGTTCATTAAATGTTCACTGAATGAAAGGATGAAATGGTGGCCAGACTGAGAAAGTGGAGCCTCATATGTCTCTTAGAGTTCTATAATTGTTGAGCAACCCACACATAGCCAGAGAACCTTTCCCTTGTACTCCCTTCCTATATTGCACTAACACTGGGGAAGGGGCAGAGGGTTGGGGAAAAGGTGGAGAGGGAATACCCGCATGCTCTCAGACTAGTTTTGAAGAGAAAATTATTAGTCCTGTCTAGTATTTACTTCTACGAAGACCACTATCTTCTATGCTAAAATGGAAACTGCATTTTATTATAAAAAGAAAAGCTCTAAAAAAAAGAAAGTAACAGGGAAAAAAATAAAGCTTTGTCACTTTTGAACTTAGGCAAACACTTCTTTTCCAAGTATCAGTTTCCTTAACTAGGGATGATGATAACTACCTGGTTTATACCACAGGCTGATACAAGGATAAAAATGAGAAACTGAAGTGAAAGTGCTTTACAAACAGTAACTGCCACATAGGTCTAAGAGGTAACATTATGAATGCAGTGCCAACACAGACAGGACGTTAACTGAAGATTAATTTAGGAGGCAGAACTTGTGCCATCAGGGGATATGATGTCCCTGGCTTTGGGCGGCCTACTCTCAGGCACTATCGTAAAGTGTACAGCCTAAAGAAAAGACCTTGTGATCCAGAACACCAGGAACTAATGTGAGGTTTGTTACTTACTAGTTATGTGACTTTATATATGTAACTTCAATTCTCTCAGCCTGTTTCCTCAAATGGAAAATGAGGATACTATCATTATCTTGCAGGGTTATTATGAAGTATAAACAGAAAGATTTATGTATAGTGCCTAGCAAGATACCAACAACACAGTAGGCACTGAAATGATACATAAAACTATTCTTATTAATGAGTTCATATAAGTTTTTATTTTCCTACAAGGAAGACATAAGGATGCAACTCACCCTGGAATTCAAGAAGGAGAGAAGAATTGGCTGAGGCATCAGAGGGAAAGCCATTAGGTTCCCGGGCTGCTGAACTGTTCGATTTTGACTTTTCTTTCTAGAAAAGGAAAAAAAGATGAATATGACAGAGCCAACCAGGAGACTCAAAGGGGGTGGGGGGGGGTGGAGAGAATGAGAATGGTGCTTTTTGAGACACCACAGAAGTCTGGATTAGGACTGAACAGAAATAATGACAGCAGTTTTGAGAATCCAGGGTCCATAAGCCTCAGTGTCTCCATCTGTAAAATGGACCCTTCCAGTGCTAATATCATGAATCAAAAGTGAAAGACAGACACATATACTTCCACTAGATCTCCCTGTGGTACTCTTCTGCTTTCTGCCTTGATCAGAATGCTCTATCCAACCCTGCCCCATGTGGATAGGTGAGAAACACAAAACATTCATTCGAAAAAGATTACTATTTTAGTAGCACAGCAAGAAAAAAATAAGTAAAAGAAGAATGGACCTCTTACTGGAAAAAACAACAAAGTCACTTTATATGTAATTGGGCAAGAAATTATGGGACAAAAGGGCCCTTGCTAGCTCTATTCCTGACCAATGAAAGCCATCCATTCAAAATGATCACCCTACTTTCAACCTTTGTCTCTAACAATTTCCTTCAAGCAGAGGATGTAGGTTACACATGCTGGGGAACCACAACAGGAAGGTAAGCACTAGCTTGCAACAAACAAAACCATAGGAAAGGAAATTTGCAAATGAGAGCATCCCAACAGCCAAAAGTTTAAATCTGGGTAATTTCAAAGTCAGTAATTCATACTGTTATATAGGTCTCTTTATTGTATATGTATTACAGTAGTGATACAATTTAGTTTTTGTTCATAACTCTCAATCCTATCTCTGCAATAAATGAACTGTACAACTTATACACTTCCTTCCTTTCATTTTTCCCATGCATAGTTTTAATGTAATTACACTTTACCATTTTACCACATAAGCTACATGATTTTTAATAGCTGCATAATATCCCATATACCATAATTCGCTTAACTTCTCAACTATTAGACCTTTAGCTTTAACTTATTTAGGACTATGTTTATTTATTATTACTAGGAATAAAGCCACAATGTTCACCTTTCAATTTTTCCTGGATTATTTTATTCAGATAAAATTCACAAAAAGATATTCCTTCCTTCTCAATCAGAAAATATAAACATTATTTTCCTTGAAATATACTGTACCACTCTCTAAAAGGATGGTGGCAATATATTTGGGGTACTAGTTTCACAGCACCCATGCCAATATTTGCTTTATCATTATTTTTTCTTCTGACCTCTCTTTTATCTTTATTTTAATGACTCTGTGTTCACGTAAAATACATATTTCAATATAGGGAATTCTGGAAATACAGAAAAAAAAAAAAAGAAAACCAAAGATAATCTACACGTTTATATGAAAGTGAATTACGTCCCAGTTGGTTTTCTCAGTGGTTAGGGCATTGGCCTGCAGACCCAAGGGTCTCGGGTTCAAGTCCAAGTAAAGAGCACAACTTGCGCCCTGGCTGGTTTGGCTCAGCGGTTAGAGCGTCGGCCTGCGGTCCGGAGAGACCCGGGTTCGGTTCCCGCTAAGGGCACGTACTTCGGTTGCAGTTTGTCCCCGGCCCTGGTGGGTCGTGCGGGTGGCAGCCACTCGATGTGTCCCTTTCACGTCGATGTTTCTCTCTCTCTCTCTCCCTCCCACTCTCTCTGTACAAAAATTGGAAAAATGTCCTCGGGTGAGGATAAAAACAAAACAAAAACCAAAAAAAAAAGAGCACAACTTGCAGTTTTGATTCCTGGGCCCCTGTTGTCTCCCTCACACTGATGTTTCTCTACCCTCCCCTGCCTAATTTTATCTAGAAAAATCAATAAAAAAAATCCAAAGATTAACAAAAAAAAGGGAAGAAAGTGGATCATATAACTTGCTTCCCCTTCCTCAGTCACCGCATTAAAAACATTTTCTTGCCCTGGCAAGTTTGGCTCAATGGTAAGAGCATCGGCCTGTGGATCAATGGGTCGCGGATTCGATTCCGGTCAAGGGCACATAATTCGGTTGTGGTTCATCCCCGGCCCTGGTAAAGTAGTGTGGGAGGCAACCAGTCAATGTGGCTCTATCATATTGATGTTTCTCTCTGTTTCTCTCTCTCCCTCCCTCCCACTCTATTTAATGATAAATGGAGGAATATCCTCGGGTGAGGAATAAAAAACAAACAAACATTTTCCTATGCCACTGAGTAATTTCATACATCTTTTTTTATAACAATTACAAAGCTTTACAAAATACAGGTGTACCATCGGCCCTCATTTATCGAGGTTAATCAGTTCCAGACTCTACCGCAATAAATGAATTTCCACAAAGTAGGATTCTTTATTTATATACAGTTGTCCCTCTCACTTCGCGCTTTGACTTTCACGGCTTCACTCTATTGTGGCTTTTTCAAATACTGGACTAAAAACCGTGATAGAGTGAAGCCGCGAAAGTCGAAGCGCGAAGTGGCAAGGGACGACTGTACAATAACTTAATAAATTCTCTACAATAACATCTTTGTTTGCTTACAATTTTAAACACTATAAATAATACTGTAATGCTGAATACATGGTTATCTCCTGAGGATAAAATCCTAGAGACAAAACTTCTAGATCTAAGGGATAATATTTTGAAAGCTTTTTACCCCCTCAGTTTTACTAACTTAGTTATACATGACAAATAAAAGTGTAAGATATTTAAAGTGTACATCGTGGCCCTGGCCGGTTGCTCAGTGGTTAGAGCGATGGCTTGCAGACCAAAGCGCCATGGGTTTGATTCCCAGTCACGGGTACATGCCTGGGTTGCAGGTTTGAAACATGGGAGGCAACCAATCAATGTGTCTCTCTCACATCAGTATCTCTCTCCCTCTTCCCCCTCCCTCTCTTCCACTCTAAAAATTAATGGAAAAATATCCTCAGCTGAGAATTAACAACAACAACAACGTAAATAAATAAATAAATAAATGTTTTTAAAAAATATAAAGTGTATATCGTGGTGATCTGATATACATATATACTGTGAACGAATTCCTACCTCCAGTTAATTAACACATCCATCACTGAAAGCTTTATGATCATTGGGACAAAAAAAGGCCACATGTTAACCTGACAAGCTCAAGAAAGGCCCACGTGGTGACCTTGCAAACTAACTTCAAGACCCAAAGTAACGACAAAGGACGAAGGTCCAATATTATAACTTTTTTAACTAAAAGCAATTTATGGCAGGTAGTCACGTCCTAAGCTAGAATCTTCCCTGACAAGTGTGTTTACCTTAACTAAGCCTGTCTATTGTATTTTGCACTTAAAATGACATTCATATGGATCAGGGTAACTCCCCCTTTTCCAGACTCCCCAGGGCACACAACCAATACACCATAAATCCTCTCATTGTCATCAGTATCATGTTAATTGTTGACTGCTAAGTATCCTGTACCTACTTATTAAAAGATGTGTGTAGTCTATCATGTTACTTTTCATCCAATCCCAGAGGTTTCCCCCACTTTGCTTTCTCCCATCTCCCTAATCTATCACCAGTGAATTACATGTAACCCACCTGCGTCCTCTCTTTTGATTATAATATATAAAATAAGGTGCAAACTGCCATTTTCTAGAGCATCATCTCAATCCGTTGAGATTTTGCTTCCCGACAATTGTCAACAGTTTGGCTCAAATAAACTCACAAAAATTCTCTATGGGTTTGAATGTTTCTTACATTACCAATCAGTTTGACCTATATAAAGTTTGTGCCAATTTAATCTCCTATCAGCAGTGAGTGTCCCACTCCCTTGTATCCTTCATACTTTTTTCTTTACCAATTTGATCATCATTTTCCATTTTTCCTAATCTAACAGGTCTATGCTAGTACCTTAGAAGATGGCATACTACCATGGATCACTGGAGGGTAAACTGATGGACCTCAGGGCCCAGCTCAGAATGCAACACAAACACCGAGAAGCCCACAAGAAAGAGAAGCCCACAGGAAAGACGTAAGGAGCTGAGTCCCAGAGAGAATTTGAATACGAAAGGGCCAGGGACTTATAGGGAGAAATGGGGTGGGGGTGGGTGTGAGGAGGTTATTTCTAGTAGTGATAGCATCACCTGAGCCAAGAATGGATGAAGAATAAAGGGTGGCTCCAGAGCCTTCTCCTAACATTCACCTTCTAGCTTGGGCTTGTCAATGACAAGGAAGGACGGCTGCTCCTATATAAAGGCAGCACATGGAAGACTGGTACTAGGGAGTTCCCTGGGAGACAGGGGAAGACATAGAGGGAAAAAAACTGAACCCTGAGACTACTAACCCCATCCCTTAAATTCGCTTAAAGGAGGAAAAACCAGAGCTTAGGCTTATCTACTCCCCTCAGTTACATGTTATTAGCCAAGACAGCAGAGTCCCAAGAGAATAAAAGATAAGTGGACAGAAAAAACTAACCAGATATGGGAGGAAAACAAGCACCACAAAAGAAAATAAACAAAACAAGCTATACCAGAATGGTAATGGGACAGTAGAATTTAAAGTTGTTTTTTAAAACATGTTTGTTTGTTTTAATTTTTTTTTCTTTGTTAATTTTAGAGAGAAAGGAATGGAAAGGGAAAGAGAGATAGAAACAGATGAGAAAGAACATCAACTTGCCACCTCCTGCATGCCCCCCCCCCCCCACACACACACACTGGGGATCAAGCCCACATCCTGGGCATGTGCCCTGACCGGGAATCGCAATGATGACTTCTTGGGGCTTGGGTCAACACTCAACCACTGAGCCATGAGCCACATTGGCCGGGCTAAAATAGGTTTGTTTTTGTTTATTTCAGAGAGAGGAAGGGAGAAGGAGAGAGAAACATCGATTAAAGAGAAACATAGATTGGCTGCCTCCTCCACACCTCCACTGGGGACTGAGTCCACAACCCAGGCATGTGTCCTGACCAGGAATCAAATCAGCAACCTCTTGGTGCATGGGTTGATGCTCAACCACTGAGCCACACCAGCAGGGCAAACAAACATGTTTTAAGAAAAAGAAACAGCCCTGGCCAGTTTGGC